TTACCTTCAAGCCTTTAAGACCCCAGACACTATACTTTTTGATAGCCGGGCACCATCAGCTTTCTTCACCACATTTGCTTATTTACCCTCTCCTATACTTTTTAGCCCCTTATTTCCCCCTAACCTCCCCTTCCATGTCCCTAAGTAATTATCAATCCAGTTACTATGTCTATAGAGTGATCCATCTTGGATTTCATATACAGAAAATCATGCAAAACACAGAAAGCAAACAATCAAGCAACAACAGCAGCAACAACGCCTAGACAAACATAGAAAACCCTCAATCAAAAAGAAAGCAGAAAATATTAAAAACTGAAACCACTTTAGAATGGGTTGAAAAGGAGATCACATGATAAGTTCAGAGGGATTTCACCAGAGGCTTCATGCATCTGCGGACCCTGCAAATGAATTTTGAGTTGTTGGTGGGGTTTTTTTTTTGTTTTTCATATGTTTAGGTCATATTTTCCTATTTAAATCTACGATAATATATATGTCAATGGTATATGTCTTTACACATTCTGCTACATTAATTACCATTTTATTTCATCAATAAATGCCTAGCCAAAACCAAACTCACCACCATCAAGTTGATTTCAGCTAGAGTCTAGTTATTAGACCCTAGTGGCATATTAAATGTATTTAATAAGAACTTTTAGGCTCTTAAGACTTTTCTTGCATTGTCTGGATTTTCAATTCATCTTACTCCATTTTTTGTAGATATGAATAGAGATGTTTTAAAATTTCATTTAGTAGCAGTTTTCTCCTAACCAGCTTGTTCCTTTTTAATATTTCACTTTTTGCTTTCTACTTTTCATTGTGCTATTCTTATATATAATGTAAAAGAGGCGATGTTTTATATTTGACAGTATTGAGTCTTAGAAGGATGATTCAAGGGGAAAAAAAAGGGTGATTCGAGTGTATCATTTGCCAGCACTCCCCACTCTCTATCACAATGTGTCTATAAAGTCACTTATTTGTAACAAAATATTACATATACTGAGGAATAATTATTTTAAGAAGCAAAGTTTTTTTTTTTTCTTTTTCTTTTTTAACATTTTATTAGGGGCTCACACAACTGTTATCCCAATCCATACACACATCAATTGTGTAAAGCGCATTCGTACATCGTTT